CAGCAGGGCTTAGGAATTTCAGTGTCACACCTTGATAACCCAGCTACATGGCTGCTGCATCAATGCTGCCTGATGCCAGGCTCAGAAGATGGGCAGGCAAAGCTGGCAGGCAGAGTCTGCATTGATACCTGCAATTATCATGGTGAAAACCTCATGTAAGAGCAAAGATAGGATTTGCAAACCCAGGGAAATGCGCTGTCTTCAGTCAGCAGTCGCCTCTGTTTGACACTTGCGAGATCACATCTGGAGTACTGTATCCAGTTTGGGAATCCCTGGGAACAGATACCAACAAACTGGAATGAGCCAATCGGAATGAGCTGGTTGGTGGCTAGAGCGCCTGGCATGTGAAAATTGTCTAGAGAAGGAGGGAGCTGTTTGCTATCTCCAGCAAACAAAAGAGCCACTGGAAATAAGATGGAGCCAAATTGTTCTCAGAGACACACAGCAAAGGACAAGGGGTTTAAATTGCTGCAAGGGAAATTCTGATCACAAGTAAAGGAAAAAAGGTCATCCCCATGAGAGAGGTCAAGCACTGTAACAGGTTCCTGGAGAGTCTGTGGAGGTCTCCATCACGGAGTTATTCATGGGAGGCTGGACTCAGTGGCTTCCCTGAATTCTTATAGCTGTCTTGACTGCTGCTTATTGGAGGCAACATTTAATAGGCAGCTCTTCTCGTAAGAGTCCCTCTCTTGATCTCCAGACAGAGCCTGACCTTCAAGCTGCACCTTTTGCCTCCTGCCATCCTTACACAAAACACAGACGGTCAAGGAAGATGTTTCTTCCTTCACGGTGACCCAGACTTCCCCTGCCTAGATTTTGGTCTCTCAGATGCAGGCTCCACTTTGCTCCCTTGCAGGTGAGACCTCCCTCACCCCAGCCAGGTGTCTCAGAAGGAGCTTGGCCTGATTGGTTGCAGAGTTCCCCAAATCTCTGGAAGAATGACTCTGTCACTAGACTTTAGCTTGTTCTCTCTGTCTTCCAATTCAAGAGCGAGCAGCATCAGATAAAGCTGGTAGGAGCTGGGCTTTAAAGAAGCAAAAAAAGGCATCTCTTCCCAAAAGATGTAATTATTCAGCCTTACTCTTTGATGCAGAATGTTATGATAAACTTTCCATTAAGTCCCAAAGAGGAAAGCCCGTGGGTAGTTGCTAAGCATGAAGAAACTGCCTCTGTTGCAGGAAATCTCTGTGTTGAAAATGACTGGTGAGGAAAGGGATTAAGAGCAAGTTCTGTATATGCCTTCCCTGCTCTGCCGTGGCTGCGCAGGGACAGGACCCTGGGATCCTGTGGGAACAACCCATAGGGATGTACTTATGCAGGGAATAGCATCTTCCTCACTGTAAAACTCACCCCATTGCAAAACAACTAGCAAAGGACCTACTGACCATCTTCTCTCAATTAGCTAGACAAGGAGCAGCCTGGGTTTCTATGTTTCTTAGGAGAGTGTGCCACTTTGCCTTCCCAGGCAGCTGTGCACTTCCTTGCACTTACCTGGTCAGCAGAGATTTATGAGGAAAACGACATTTGACTATAGCTGTGCAAATAAGCACTGCTCTGGTTTGCTACAGGAACAACAGTCTTAAAACCCCACCAACCCCAAACCACAACAAATCCACAACTGGGGGTCGTGAAATTCATTAGTTTTCAGCTTCCCGCTGAAATGAAAACCAGAAAAATTTTCTTGTGTTGAGTAAATGACTCCGTTGGAAAGCAAACGTTCTTCTTAGGGATCTAATAAAAGAGGTCTAATGGGCTGTTAGAAATCTGTACAAATAAATGGTTGTTTCAACAAGAAAACCTGCAGCAGCTAATTCAGCAAATGCTGAAACAAAGCCTTTGAACTTCTCGGTTTCATTCCCCTCAGCTGCAATAATTCGCTGATTTTTGCAGTGATCCATGGCTTGGCTTTGTTAACCCAAAAATAGATCTTTCAGTGAGAAACAGTGACCCTGAAAATTGGCTCCTTCTCCTGCTCAGGACCACCCCTGAAATGTACTACAGCTCCTGCCACGCTGAGTTTCAATTGCTGCAGCAGCGCTGTGTCCTTGCCACTAATCAGCTCCCCAGAACACCCCTGCTTCCCTGGTGAAGGTCTTCTGAGACAAAACAAGGTGTCACTGGGCTGTCTGCCTCATTCCAGCCTTGTCCTCATCAAGAGCCTTTCTCATTTTGCTTCTGAAGTTTCTAGGTGGCAGTGCTTGCCATGGCCCTTGCTGCCTGGCATGGGAAGTGGCACTGCAAAAACCAAGAACAGCAAGGGTTGTAAAAGCCTTGTGGAAACATGTGTTGTTTAGGATGGATTATAGCATGTGCCTCCTCTGGCTGGAGGTCCTAACATCCCGTGGTGTTCATGGAGACCCACAGGATACTCCACGTAGCCGGGCTCAGCTGCCTTGAGAGCGGACAGCATGGATGCTGAGCATTTGTTTCTAATCTTGAAGTGCTAGGTGGCTATGACGATATGGAGCTTTGGGATGCTATGAATTTGAAGGCTCACTCACAGCGGCATATTTCAAGTGCAGGTGAAAGCATCTGATATGTCTGTGCTGTCGTGGTAGCTCAGAGCTTAACTCTGAACGACAGCTCAAACTCCCTGGATACCTTCACTGGGAGTCCTGAGGAGCCTTTCACTTGAAGCCTGCATGCAGATGGCATGGACACAGCTAGCTCGAGCCCCTGGCAGGGTGAAGACGGGCCCTGCTCAACAGACACGGGCAGATGAGCCAGAGCAGTGCCATTTTGCATGCTCTGCTGCAGATGGATCGCGTGTCCTTGGGAAAGCAATTTCCTCCATCTGTGTCTCGGCTCCATCTCCCGCGAGCGGAGCGCGGGGAGGGTCACCCGTGTCCCTGGGGCTGAATTCATTAGCGACCATGAGGAGCTCAGTGGTGTCGGCAGGGAAAGCCCTGGGGAGGGCAAAGTGGTGATGAATCACTTGTGAATGCCCCCCATGCTCACAGGGATCCGGGCACTCGCTGAACCAGCTTCCAGGCGAGCAGGAAGAATCCCTTCTCTTAGCTGTGCTTCCTCTCAGCCCCCTCTCGCCTCCCAGAGCTGAATGCAGAATTAACACACTTATCACATGCTGTCTGGAAAAAAGAGATCTCCATTTAGATCAGGCTGTGTTTGCAAACATCTGAGCCCAAACTAATGCAAACAAACTATTGCATGACAACTCTGCTGGCGCTTTACATCCAAAGCCCTTTGCTTAGGGTGGAGAATGCTACCCCTTTGCCTAGCTTTTCACTGTCCTCTGGCAGGTGGTGCAAAACACTTCCACACTCAAGTACCCAGTTTTTCCAGCAAAACCTTTTAAGTGGTACCAAACAGGATCTCGGCCAGTGACCCATGAGCATCACCAGCTGCCCGAGTGCCCATGCCTGCTGCATGGTGCTTGCAATGGTGGTTTTCTCTTCATGGCGTGGCTGGGATGTCTTTGGTGCTCTGATCCTCAGGAGCAAGCTCCTTTTCCAAAATGGCATTGCTAGTGCACCTAGCCATACCTTCTGGAAGTCCTGCTGGGGATGGGGAGCAACGTGAGCTGCCGTGACCCTCAGAGCTCCCAGTTGACACTATTAAAAGCTCTGCTTCTCAGTGTATGTTGTAGTGGGGTTTATTTTGCCATGGTGGGGGTCTGCCCTGTGGGGCTGAGGCCTGGTAAGGTGTCTGCAGTGGAAGAGACCCCCTGTGTTGAAATTTTGGGGGATCTGAGCCTATGTGGTGCCTTGGTGAACAGTCTGTTAGACCCAGTTCCCTGCTGGAGCTGACCATTCAGATCCCTGACAGTGGAAGGGTCACTCTCAGGTGGATTATTTGCACAGGCAGGAATGGATGCTAAGGTGCAGAGGCAAGTGGGGAAAGCTGTTTATTTTTAATCTATGCCGAGCCTTCAGAGCCAGCTCCCTTTGCCATGCTTCTTCCTCAGTTCTCCCTTTGTCCCACCCTCCCTCTTGTTGTCACTGTCACAGGCTCTCAAGAATGATGGATGAAAGGCCTTAAAAGCAGCTGGTTTCACATTTCATCATTGTCACATAAATCACTTTCCTCTTTGCCTGAAACCACTCCTGCTGCCAGCAATGCCCTTGGCATCCCAAGGTGTGCTCTCCCCTCGCCGGCACCCAGCCAGGGACAGCACGTTGGGAGTCAGGGGCTCAGTAGTTTAGCAGAGCCCTGGATGCTTCAAGAGGAGGGATTCATCACAGCCCTCTGCTTCTGGCAGCTGGAGGTGTCTGACTTGCACTGTGGGACAAAGGGGTGATGTGAGCCTGATGGGGACATCCACATGGAGGTGACCGAATAGCTCTGATGGGAGAGGGAAGGGAGCTGTGCTGGTGGTGGCACAGGGACATGTGGGAACACCTTGGGACGGATACGTGCTTGTGCAGCGCAGCCTCCTGCTAATAGCTCTGCTCTGCTCACAGGGAGGGGTGGCAGCTGCGCTTCTGCTGCAGCGGGCAAGAGAGTGACTCCTGTGGGGTTTGACACTGGGTCTGGTGTCCCCTGTGGCATCAAAGAGGGTTCCTATCATGGGCAGCAGCACCCTTGATGTAAGGGGCAGGGGAAATCAAGTCCCATAGGGACTGCAGTGCTGGCATCGCTAATGCCCATGGATAACCACACTGCATCTCCCTGTCACCTCTGTGTGCCCAGGCACAGCCAGTTCTTGCCCTGCATCCCCCCATGCTGGCAGGCTCAAGTTCAAGCCATGCCTCCCATACAAGCCCTGCTCCTCCAGAGGGAACTGGCAAGGGACTGGTGAGAAAATATTTCCACTGTTGCTTCCCAGGTTTCCTCTGCTTACAATGCAAGCAGGTGAAGAGCTGGGTAGCAACCCCCTTCGCAGTCAGCTGTGATTGAATGCTAAGGAGGGGAGGGGAGCAAAAGGAGAAGAAAAGAAATGATTGAATAAGAAGAGTAAAATAAGAATCAGTGTGAAGCAAGAAAAGACATTGTAAATCACATCCTGCAAAAGGAGGCAGAAAGCAAATGCTTCAGCCTGGTCTGAGCCACCACCAGTTATTTATTCAGATAACATATTATTCGAGAGGAGAGACTCACATCTGATAAATATCTCCCAGTCCCAGAGAAATATGAAAAGGCAGCTGGCTTGGCTCCTATCAGAACCATTCCAGATGTTTTCAGCTGGTGTCAGACGTGCTGCTTGGCATGACAAAGCAAAGAGAAAAAAAGAGAGCGAGAGAAAGAAGGAACAAGAAATGTCATCATCTTATTTTTAAAGCACAAAAGGAAAAAAAATCGTGGCTTCCCATATTAAATGTTTCCCCTGGCAGCTTGTGGTGTAGTTGTCATTAATAGCTGAAACAGCAAGAGAGATAGCAGAACACAGGACTCCTATTTACTAGTGTTAATCAAGCACTAATTGGTAGTTTAGACATTCTTAAATTATTGTGGGGAACATTTCGGAAGTGTCAAGAGCCCAAGATCCATTCTCAGAAGTGCCTCCCAAATCCGATTTCAACGTCTGAGTCATTTAGATGCCACTGAAGATTTTTACCTGAACAGTCACAGCTGAGATTGGAGCATAAATTCTGGTGCCGGGCGCTGCAGCAGTGGCCGTGCCCCAGAGCCTCCGATGAACGTGACTGAAGGTGCAGGAGGGAGCTCAGCCGCCCTTTTCCGCAGCTGGGGGAGGGAGGATGCAGGGATTAAGGGTCGTTCCGGAAACAACCCAGGCTGGTGTGTATGTCCACAGGCTAGCTGCAAGCATGCCACCCCACCATTCCTCGCAGCGTGCCTCTTGGGTGGTGCTTGCTGATGCCTGCTGGCACCTCCAGGCTCCTGCCAGGCTTCTGCCACTCATTTTGTGCTTTGGTGATTAACCAGCCCTGCTGTGAACCCATGGAGGCTCTCAGGTGACGAGCAGGGAAGGTTGTGCAAGGCAATGCTGTACCTGCAGAGACAGCTCGTCTGTGGTTAACACTGTCTGAGGGGAGGCTGGAAGCTGTTGCAAGACCACTCTTTCTGCCTTCTGTTGGGAGAAAGGAGTAAGCTGCAAAAGAAGCATCAAAGACAAACACAAGTGGTATTGAGGAGAGGCAAACATGGAGCTGGGATGCAGCCGGAGACAGTTACCATAGTTACTCCCCATCCCTGCAAGAAGGGAGGCTGAGGCAGCTGCCCACTGGTTGGCACAAAGAGCAGAGGTATCCCTCAGGGTCCAGGCAGTGGGAGGCAGCTGGGGGGGCATCACTCTGCCTTGGGCTTAACCCCTTATTTGAGCTGACCTGAGCAAAGAAAATGTCCCTGCCACCCTAAAGCTAGCAGCCTTGAGGGTGGTAGGGTGCAGTCAAGCACACAGGACTGGGGGTGGGGGGGGGGGATTGCTAAGGGATAGGCAAAGTTGTGAGAGTGCAAAGAGCATCCAGAGGTTGGTTGCAGACTTAAACGGGCTGCTTGTGGTGCAGATGTGGGCCTGGGAAGCTGAAGGGAAAAGGGAGCTTCCCTGGAGATTCCTGGTTTGGGATCAGGTCAGGATTTCCAGGCTAACTGGCATCTCCTAGTCCAGTTGGAGAATTGAGCTTAGATCTCTTTAAGGCCACTGGAAATGGTACATGGAGGATCCCATAAACTCTTCACCCATTTTGATTATGCAGATTGTCTCTCTGCTTTTGGGGTCCCTGGTGCCAAAGGAAACAGCCAAGCTCATGCTGTGCTTTGGGCCGTCAGTGGAATGACACAGAGCACACTTTACCTGCGCTCAGTATGAGCCTGAGCCCCAGGAAAGGCAGCTGGAAACTTGAATTGTGCTGCTGGATGACTATGGAGAAAGGACAGTAACTTTTTGCCAGCAACAAAAGACCTTTGGGTCACATCAGCTGATGTGCAGTGTCACCCGCTTAGCCACTGACTGGCTGTTCTTCTCAAAGAGTAAGGAGCAGCATGCTGGCTTGGGACTTGGGTCTCAATGGTCAGCCCCAGCATCAGCTAGACCCACTAGAGACCATGATGTACTGGGTGCCTCAGTGTAACAGGGCTGTTTTGAGCTCAAAGACAGAAAGTCTGTGGATACAGAGATCTGAAACAGGGGAGTCCAGAGAAGCTGTCAGCTGGGGATGATGCCAGGCAGCCCTGACCCCGGGAAGGGGCTCAGCATGGCACATGGGCTCCCAGGTCTCAGCATCCTCCAGAGGCTGTAACTGAGAGCCCTGGTATCAGCTGGCTGGGACCGTAACCATGGCAGCAGCAGCCTCTGCATCACAACATGGCTTGGGGACACTAAAAAAAAAAACCAAAAGAAAGAAAGAAAAATGACAAAAAAAAATAAAATTAGATATTCTAATAATTCTATAATCTTGCTGGCAGATGAGGTTTGCTGAAGTGCCTTTCACCTAGGCAGGGCCTACCCCTGGGCACCAGCTGAAGATATGATTTCTAAAGGAAGCCAACCATGTGCTCTGGGAAATCAGGTCGTGAGCATCCAGCTGGAGCCAGGGAAGAGGCTACAGCAGCTCCTGTGCTCTGCAAGCTCTCATTACACTAATAGGGAGCATGGAGGGGCAGAGACACCCTTGCTGTGCACTTAATAAAGTGCCTGAAGCTCCTCTACCTGTTTTTATTACAGAAGTGTCAGTGCTGCGGCGGCAGGGGGGGGGGTGGCTGGATTGCTGTTGAGCAACACGTTGAGACACGGAGCCAAGCAGAGCGCTGCATTGTTAAATTAGTTTTTGACAGTCCTTTCCCCGGCATCTCACCAGGCTGCAGCTCCTGAGAGGACACATCCCACCCTGCTCCTGACCCCGCTTGGGCCCCCTTGCACTGTTAGGGCTGCTGATCTTGCTGGCATTTCGCTACCCGCAACAGAGGGGAGAGCCTTTCCATCACAGAGTGACACCATGTCCTTGTCCCTACCCTTTTGGCCTTGTTATCCTGTTTCCCCTCCTTCATCCTGTGTTTCTGTGTAGGGTGAGACAGTATTTTTGATTATCCTATGATCACAGAGGGCAGGAAGAAGAAAGACTGGGGGTTACCTAGAATTAACTGATGCAAACTCAGGGATATGCATATACATGCCCAGCTAGGAACCAGCATGCACATGCCTGCTCTGATATCTCCATATACATGGCTACGGTACCTCTCCTGCTGTGAGGCAGCAGGGCAAGGGATGCAAGCAAGCTCCATGGCACACATGCCTTTATCTCTAGCCAAACAGCAATGTCTTTGAGCCTAAACTTGCTGAAAGCATCACAAGCTGAGCTCCTCCTGTTAGACTTCCTCAGGGCTCTTGGGCTGCCTTTTTTTGGGTGCAGGGAGCTCATACGTAGAACCCCATCTGCACTGCAACCCTTGAAAGCTTCTTGGGTCAGAGACATGAAGACAGCCTCCTGTGGGAAGGGAGGGGGCAGGCTGTCATCTCTGATGAGGAGAGCACTGGGAAGAAAGGAAGAGTTTCCTGCCTGACACCCGCTTGCTTCTTCCATCCATCGCTTCTGTTATGGACTATTAAAAATTAACCAAATCATGTTCATCATTAACATGCGTTGCTTTTGTTCTCCAGGCTCCCAGTACCCATTTGCAGGGCTTTTGTTATGTATTTTTCAGCACTTTGCCTCTTTAATTGCTCGCTTCTCTCTGATGTGCAGGGCTGTGGTTTGCAAGTCAGCTGCAGGGAACAGAGGGGCATTTTTATTGCTCCAGACTGGAAGTCAGTGGAAGAAGAGGCTCTGCGAGTCCCAGCCCAAGCAGGCCCTGCGGTCTCTTGTGTCTGTGATGGATGCTCCTTGCCTGCTGGTGGGCAGACAGCTCTGGAGTGTTTAATCCACTGGGGGGAAGAGGGAGGGAGTCTTTCCTGAAACAGGCTGCCTTTGCTCCTTTTCACCCCCTTGCTGGCACACACAGTCCTGCTGCTTTTCTCACCCTCTGCTCCTGTAGCTGTTTCCAGCACTCTGATGTGCAGTGTGGGGCTGGGCTGTGGGTGCTGCTGTGCTGGAGGCTCTGTGCTCAGCTGCTGGCTTCACTGCAGGTGTCTGCATGGGAAAGAGCAGCAGGTTTGGGATGGAGGTATCCCCACAGCTCTTTCCTGATGTTAATCCCTTTCTCTCAGCCTGAGAGCTGCCTTTGCTGGGGTTCAGCTGGGCCAGGCAGGCCTCCTAATAGCCTGTAGGATCTGGTTCCCCATGAAGAATGGATGCAGCATGGTAGTCCCAGCAGCTGAGATGGGAGCTGTTTCAGTGCTGATGCAGTGACTCAGGACTCTGTCCACAGCTCCTCAGCAGGATGCTGAGCAGAGCTGACAGGCAAAAGTGAAACATCTGCTTCAAACCCTTGTTCTTTGCAAGCAGAGCAAGTCACCAGCCAAGAGCTCACCTCTTGGAAGAGACGTACGCAGGGGAAAGGAGCCAGGAGCTGGGGTCTCTCATTGCGGAGTGGGAGGATGTTTGGGCCTGCATTTACTAAATTTACTGAGTTTACTGTGTGGGTGTTGAGGCACTGGCACAAGTTGCCCAGAGAAGCTGTGGCAGTGTTCAAGGATAGGCTGGATGGGGCTTTGAGCAACCTGGTCTAGTGGAAGGTGTCTCTCATGTGTCAGGGGGTTGGAGCTGGATCTTTCAGGTCCCTTCCAACCAAAACCATTCTATGATTCCGTGATTCTATGAATCCTCCCCTTTGGTAGCTTGGGCAGAGAAGAAAGAGTCAGTTTCCTTTGGGGTATGGATAATTAGTAGTGCTAAGGTTGTGACTCAGCTCTTTGATCAACAAGAAAAGCCCGGACACCACGTTTCTGCATTTAATTCCAGGATTGCAGACTGCAATTCAACAAACCATGATATTAGGACGGGCAGGGATAATAATTGTTTCTTCTGCCCTGAACCTCTGCAAATCACCCTGGTGTAGGAGGATCTTTAGTCTCAACTGCCCTAGTTAATCTCCTACTGTTTTTTATCAGAAAGGTGATAGATTCCCGAAGCACCCATGGGTAAGAGCACATCAGTCTTTGGGAAGGACTCAAGTCCCTCTGAAGACCATGTAAATCTTTTCCTTGACTTCATCAGGCTTTGGATCAGGGTCAGACTCATTGTGATCTCTGCCAGGCAAGGTGAAGCACCACTGTGATTAAAACAGCCAGGCACGGACCCAACTGCCGTGGTGATGGCAGGAAGTTTTAGGAGGGGAAGGACTGGTGTCATCGTTCCTTCTGAGAGCTTTAATGCCCAACATGTAGGAATTTAATAATTAAGGAGGTGCTTTCACATGTGGGTTTTTTTTTTAATAGTCTAACAGCGTGAAATAAGCCATTCAATAATTAATTGACGAAGTCGAACTGCACATGCCAGCACCAGGGCTGAGGGTGTGGGCTCAGCCTTTGCAGACAAATGAAGTGAGAAGTAATTGCTTGATGAAGAAAAGGAAGATATTAACATCAGATTTGTCAGGTCTCTCATAGGAATTCATCATAGTGGGTCTGGGACTTCAAATGGGATTTGTGCTGCTAATTCATCACTAATTAACACTCTAAATTGGCCCACGTGTGGGGGAGGGAGGAACCTGGGGCTGGGGCTGTTCTAGACTTCAGTGAGAGCAAGAAGAAGGAGATAGAGAGAAGTCTTTATTTGTAGGGGATGATTCAGAGGGCATGAGGAGACAAAAATGGACTGCTCGTGCTGTACAACATCTGCATGTGTGTCTTTGGGAAGTGTGTAGCAATGTTGGCATCCACATGGATAGGATTTGATTCCAGTGAAAGGTGTCCCAACTCTGCTCCTGGCTGTCTCCAGTCTCCTTCCTTGTCATCATTCTCAGGATGTCTCTGGTCTTGTGGATGTTATGACTGCTCTGCCTGGGCGATATTAGCAGTTCAGCCTGATTCTGGTCCTGTGCTGTCCGAGCCTCCTTCCACATACAGTAGAAGGAAGTAGGTACCACAGTGAGGGTGGGCAACACTTGCACACAGGCTGGATGTGGCTCTGAAGTGCTGCTGTAATACATTAAATAGCAAACCTCTCAGCTGCCACCTGAAAATGCCAGCTCTACGTGCAATAAGAGGTGGCACCTCGAAGTTGCCCCAATATCTCTGTATATATGTTACATGACCTAGGTCTCTCCTAATTACTTGCTACCATGTGGGACATCTCAACTAGAAGAGACAGCGAGGGCTCAGTCTGTGTGCTCTAACCTGGTAGTTAAGGTACTAGCTAAACTTGGGCTGTGCTCCGTATACTCTGATTCCCTGGCTATTAGAGGAGTGTCACTTTTTCCATCATTTTTTTCTTTTTTTCTTAATTTTTTTTTTATTTTTCTTTATGAGAAAGCTCAAAAGCCTATTTCAGCATGATAAGAACACTAAAACCTT